TTCACATTACTTAAATGACAACAGTCGAATTGTGTTTAATATGGTGTTCCGAACCATACAACAGAGGTGGATTTTATTTCACAGTTTAAAATAACAGTTCTAATGCTACTTCCGATTTGTATCATTTATGAACAACTTTCATTGAAACAGGAAGCGATTAATTGCATCGGAACATTTAATACTAATTCGTACAATTGAACATGGTTCTCAAGGAATGCTCGAGTTTTATGTCATGTCTGATTAAACCCACGATAATAATACTTATGATAATAAACTTATACCTACCACATTCCCTGCAGTATACGAGACAGTTTTCGTCATCGTAATGAAGGTCAGGTTCGGTAAATTCTTCCTAACAGTTGGTCTCATTAGTAGGAGAGCAATTGGCTGAAAAATAATTTTACCGGCGGATGAGAAAAATTACTGTTTCAATATCAATGTACCCTGAACAGGGAATTTAATATTTCGACAAACGTAAGCATATAGTATATAGTCATTAGCTACCTGCATGTATGAATAGGCAGCAGGAAGGGACTGACTCTGCAAGTAAATACAACACTCTAAACATGAATGCTATTCGAGTTATTCAACTACATTGGTGTATTATATAGCAAGACCGGTTATATAATATGCACCACTTATATATCTGCACGACTTGAAATGTCTGGTAGTGGAATGCCCAGTTGTTATACATTTGCTTCCAGTGCATTAATGTTCATTTCATTAATGACGATATTCTCTAAAATGCATCTAAAATGCGACTTTCACAATGATCTCCTGTGAATCCATCGGCGCAATGAAAACTACACGATTCGTTAAGGTAACCCCTCCTATAACAGTTACTTCCATTACAGACTGGAAAAGTAAACATTTTCACTAGGTGATCGAAAAATCAACGTGTATCAAAATCAAACAAAAATTGGTATGGTGAAACTAGATTAGAAAGAACAGTCTTGTGTAGAGAAAATGACGTTTTTCCTACACAAGTACAACAAAGTTCAGAAAATCTGAGAAATTAATAGTAAATCACAATTGTAACTCGGGATATATCCATCTTGACACTGGCAGTGATAGGATCCGACTGTGTTTACACATTTGTATTCACAGCCACCATTGTTGAATGTATAGCACTCGTCAATATCTATGGGCAAAACATCGTAGTCAATTAAAGTCAATTAGTAAATTACAAACTCCGACTTTATCGTAAACAACATATTTATCATACATTTTCTGCAGACATACCAATACATCGTTGTTTATCGCCAGCCAGTCTGTAACCAGGGTTACATTCACAGACATGATCACCATCTGTATCGTTCAGACATCTATGTTCACAGTCTAATCCTGCTTCGGACATGCACGCTGTAACGTTGATTTCTTGTGGTCCAATAAGACGGGCTAACAAATGATATGGTTGATTATTAACATGTTTTTATTTCAAGTTTTGATAGACGCGAGAGAACAATCATCGAGGACATCCTGCACAACGTGCTCCCAACTTCATCAATTGGCGGCATTTTAATCCAATCGAAACAAAAGGGAATAATACAACTGCATTTATATCAGTGTTGACGAACTTGTCTATTCCCTGAACGTGGTAACACGCTTAATTTAACCACCTACTCAATGAAATAATGGCACTTACCAACATCGCCCCCTATTGACACGGGTGGATAAACAGAATAAACTCTTCATCGCATTCACAGTGATACGATCCAATAGTGTTGACGCAGGTGTGATCACAGTTGCCGTTGTTTTCAGCGCATTCGTCAAAGTCTGAGAGAAAGTAATGTCAGCATTTATTTCTTGTGCAATCAAACAAATTAATTCACACCAAGGTTACATAGACTAGGTGGAAGGCATATCTGGTCTTACCATTACAGGTCCGCTCGTCTTCATTCAATTGGTATGCGGTATTGCAGCCACAGGTAAAAGATCCAACATTATTGATACATATATGTGCGCATGCGTTCGTAACGACGTCACATTCGTTAATATCTATCAAGGCAAGATGTATTTTCTGCTAATAAAAATATTCGATTATTTTGGTTAGGGTGTTGATCTGGAGTTCTGCCGTCAAACTACGAACATGTTCATTAGTTATCACTAACTGTTGTTAAAAATCAATTGTTTTCACACAGGTATACAAGAAACTCACCTCGGCATCGCCCAAAGCGTTCGTAATACCCAGAACGGCAACCACACTCGCAATTATAAGGATTAAGTTTGGTGCTCTCTGCACATTTCACAAATCCGCGATCTGAAAACAAGTAGGACACATGCATAGACATATACGAAAAGATAATTTTAACATAGGCATTATATATAGGAAACCAGGAACAAATGTGGTTGACTTCAGTACTGGCCTAGAAAACCACCTTATGAATATAAATTTTACTAAATCAAAGTGTATCTTAATTGGTGATTTTAATATTGATTATAATAATCAATCAGCTACAGTAAATCAGAATTACATCAATTCTATGGCCAGTATCAATTACAAACAACTAATCAATAAACCCACACGTTCAACAAATAGCTCATCAACAATAATTGACCACATATATTCAAACTTCTATGATTATTTTGTGCACTGTGGCACTATTCTGACAGATATAACAGACCATTTTCCCATTTTTGCATTCATTGAAAATCTTGACAAAATGTACCAAAAGCAGAGTGTATATTATACTCGAGACTTTTCCCGGTATAATATTGAAAATTTTCATCTGAAATTAAACAGTGTCAACTGGTCTGATGTCCTAAACAGCTTGGATGTAAATAATGCGTATAATACTTTTTCGTCTATTTTTAGCACTATTTGTGACAAAGTGGCCCCCTTAGTCAAGATGAAAAAAAGATCAAAACTACCCAAGAAGCCATGGATAACGAGGGGCATTACAAAGTCAATCATAAAAATAAACTATACGAAAAAGTGATTAAGAGTAATTACAATCAAAATCGCCTGTCTGCTTACAAAACCTACAGAAATATTTTAACAACTATTCTTAGAAAATCTAAAAAAAAATATTACTCACAATTTAATTAATCTAAATAAAAACAACCCGACTAAACTCTGGAAAACGATAAATGATTT